GAGGGGGTGGCCCTCTCCTTCCTAGGACCTCAAGGCACCATCCTCACCTCTGAAATCCCTCAAGATTTCAGTGGTGAGGAGGCCCAAACACAATGGTCCCGGAGCTCAACCAAAATGGCACAAAAGGGGTCAAATAAGCCTTAAGAGGGGTCAAACAACCCCAAAGCTTGAAACACCCTTAAGCAACTACTTAGAGCAAGTAAAAACACAACTTTTATATGTTATACACTAAGCTCAAAAACAGATGCAAGATAGGTAAATAAGCTATGCAAAAATGGGGGAAAAAGGGACAAAAGTCTTACCCTTGTAGACCTCCTTCAAAAATGGTGGACCAGCTGGTTCTTTGAGCTCAAAACCAGCTCCAAGACTTCAAAACAACCCTCAAGGGCCTCAGCTCCAAGAGAAGGTGTGATGGTGAGTGTTTGTGTGTAAAACTAAGGCTACATACACACACAAAACACAAAAGGAAGAGAGATATAGATATAGGATAGATACAAATCCTAACCTAAAACCAGAGCTCTCTAACAATGTTCTCTAAGTTGTCTAACCCCTTAAAGAGGGAGAGGAGGCCTCCTCTTATAGAGTTTCAATCTTGTAAGCTTACAAGACAAGCTAGCTAAGGGGGAAATCCCTCCATACACGTGTATGGAGGGGAGCCAAGTGCATGCCAGTTGCATGAAAATATCTGCAAAAGCAGATGCACAGTAGTCGGCCGGCTAAAAATGCAATTGACCAAAAAAAGATAGCCGGCCGGCCATCTATAGTGCCGGCCGGCAAATAATTTGGCCGGTGGCCTCAAGCCATGGCCGATGGAGTGTAGGGATGGCCCACAAGCCATTCCCTGCCCCTCCAAGGCAAAGCACAAGTGTTTGGTGCAAAACCAGACACAAAACAGTCGAGTCGAGAGATCCTGAGGCAAGGCGCGTAGCCGAGACCTCCGGGAACTCAAGACAAACACAAACATGGATGATCACCGAGTGTTCAAGCGGTGACGTCCAAGTCTTGAGGACGGTCAAAATGGGGTGTCTATAATAGCCTGCAATAGTGCAAAGGAAATTAGTTAAGTGTGAAAACCAGAGTTAAAGTTGGATAAAAAGTTACAAGTATAGAGACTTAATAAGACACAATGTTGCATCATCATTGCATAATTTTCATTCTCTGAAAACTCAGCCATCCGATTGATGTCGGCTGAGAGAAGAACGACAGTGGAAATGGCGGCACTGACCTCCAAACTATCAAGAGCACTATCCCTCGCTAGAAGAGGTCGGTCTTCGATTATCACAGATGGAGTCTAGGGAGTGTTGGTATGGAAACCAAAAGGATCGGAGGAGCCGCTGGACCTCGACTTTTTGGATTGTGGTGGGTCAGACGCCTCAGCCTCGGCTAGCCTCTTGTCGGCTGAAGGAGTGCTCTTTTCAACCTCGGCCAACTTAGAGATTGGTACAGTGTCCTTAGAGTTTATCTCAGTCACTGTTGCCTTGGCTTTGGCTTTCTTTACCCTCTTTGGCTTAGCCTTGGGTTGGGATTGTGATGGGGAGGATTGAACTATTACGACGCCAGGCAGGTTGGAAAAGAGGTTTTCAACGACAGCCTTGCTACGTCCCATCTCGTTAGCGATGACGATAACAGTGACTTTGGTACCAAAACGAATTGTTGGAAGTGCAGTAGATAGATTTGTAGGATCGTAAGCTAACGCGTCAGTATTCTGGTGTTTACGGCTACAAGTTCTGCCTGCAGAAGCGAAGAGTGGAGCTCAGCGCCAGCATTGGTGTTGGGCTGGAGGAATCAATTGGGAAGCAGATGTTGATGGATGCTCCGCTGGATCAGAAGTTGAGGCTTGGTCAGGCCTTGGCAATGAAGTAGTAGGGTGAGTTGTTACTGAAGGTGGAGACTTGCTCTTTCAAGGAACGTCGGGCAATAGGCTCTAATATGTCAGGATGTAGTTGAGGAGGATGGGAGCCTTACGAAGTTCGATTGGCAAGCCGAGAAAGCGAACCAAGTCTTTGCTCGGCGTGTAGTATCGACGAAAGTCTTTTTCTAACTGGGGAAGAGTTGCAAAAAGTGGTCATACATTAGAAACAAATTAACAAAAGGATAACTAAGTAAATAGAAGAAGGGACTCTAAGGAGGAAAACTAAGACCTTACCCTTGTCATCCTTAAAAACTTCACGGCGCAAAAAGAAGAGGTGGAGTTCATCATCTAGCGCGAACTCCCAATTGCCCGAGACAATCAGGTAGTCGTCTGCCGCACCTTTATTTGAGTCTGGAATGTCGGCTATCAGCTTGTATTTGGTGGATCTTGCCTTGAGGTAATATGTATAGCCAGCCTTGGTTTTAAGGCTACACATCATGTAGCAGTACTAGATATCAGACAGGGTGATCCTAGCGTTCTGCCAACGTTCCAACTCGACAATTCCGTTTATAATCCTAAAAGAGTTTACTGCTAACTGCATGCGGTTCAATTTGTAGTAATGGAGGACCTCCCTAAAGAGGATGTTGAGAGGGAATCTGACTCCTCCTTCAATGATGGAGACTACGGGAAAAGGCTTATAATCCTTCCCAAGCATAATGGAGTCATCTTTTCCAGATAACCGGATTTGAACGTCAACTGGGATGGAGAACTCTCACCTGAAGTATCCTAGTTTGGTCGGGGTGTCTACTCTCCACCTAAACATTCCATGATGTCGGCTTAGGGTGGATTGGTGTACAGTTTCACGAGAGAAAATTTGGTATAGGTTTGGGAATCTCGGTTAAACCCTAAACTGGCACTGGGGCAAGGGTTGTTCAAGATCTAGGGAGAATTCATTTCAATTTTCTTAGAGATAGTGATTTCTATCAAAACCCAAGGCCTAAATCTATATGGAAACAAGAAATCAAGGGAAAGATCTGGAAATAAACAAGAAAAACAGAAAAGAGCAATGATTCAGACTCAAAAAAACAAACAGAAAATCAAGAACGCTGAGTAAATGTGTACAGAAAATCAGGAACACTGAGTAAGTGTGTGCAGGTGTGCAAAAGCCAAAAACAATGGCAAAGTTTTTAAAACTTAAAATTTATGAACACTACGAATCACAAGCAATGTGAATAAAACAGAAGGGTATATTGAACAGCATACAGTAAAAGATTCAAGAACATAAATAGATTTGCAATGGCATCAAACAACGTGTAAACAGGTAATAGATTTTGAAATAAATCAGAGACTGAAAAGGAAGGAAACTGTAACTTACCAGATGAAATGAACGCCGATATGAAGATCGCCGGAGTCAAACGATGAGAATAATCGAAAGTAGATGATGAAAAGTGCATTGCAGGTGGTGAATACGGCAGTGGCAGAGCTCGAAAAGCACGCCAATGGAGAATTTGGAAGAGATGCGTTAGAGAGAGAAAATTGATTGCAAATTGAATACTCAAAAGTGAAGAGACAGAGAGAAATTGAGGAGTTTTGTTGAAATTGTGAAAAATGCGGCCAATCATAATGATGTGCCTTGGACGACGTGTCTGTCAGGCGGCGTGCACAGAAGCAACGCGACCTGATGGCGTGTGTTAGGTACGAATCAATGAGAGAAGGACGCGTGGTGGAAACGGTTGAGAAAACCGTGCGTGACAGCTCGCACGCAGATAAAACTCTTGGAGTTCTTGATTTAATGAAGCAAAAACCTCGGCTAGAAGAACGATCTCGGTTAAGGAACTTGAAGAACTTGGTTCTTGATTCTTGGTCATTAATAAAATAGACTGCAGAGTCTTGGTCATTTGAAGCCGACGGGTGATGACCTCGATCGTGAAGGATAGAGTAAGTCTTAGCCGACCTGCTATGCGGGCAAACGATGTAGGTTCCATCACCTCAGAATGCCATGGTAATAACCTGGGGACAGTGATAGGGACGTATTTTGTGAGATAACAGCACGTGGCCAAGGTGATGTTGGAGTGTCAGCCGAGGTGCCACGTGTCTTGGTTATGACGCCGAGGTGATCTCAGCTAGGCCGAGGTTATCTGCAGAAATAGCGGAATCCGAGATGAGCGGATAAGAGACAGGAATCCTAGAATAGGAGAGGACCTCAACCTGGATAAAGATAAAACTCTTAGGAAGTTTATTTCTATCTAGATGAGAGTCCAAAATGAGCATTGAGCCAAAGTCTATTGAAACTACGCTTCTACGAGGATCAGGTTAATGCTGCCTATAAAAGAAAGGCACCCACGTGCCTTTAAGGTACGATTTTTATGCTTTGTCCAGTGAGTTCAACACTATTTGTAATCTCTGAAAGATAATTGATTGCTGACTTGATCGTCGGAGTGCCCCCGAGTGAACGAATCACCGACGGATTCTTCTATTCTGCTGGTACTCTCCTACTGAGTTTTTCAATTTGATTGTATGATTAAAAATCAACACTCACAATAGCAAAAGACGATCTGTCTTTGGAGGTCACACGAAAATAAATTCTGGACGAATCCTTCATTTTTTCTTTAATATATTTGTAAAGGTCTCTCTTTTTTTTTATATGGCTGGTGTGAATGATTTTTTTAGTTATGGATGATTGATTTGTACAATTTACTTTTTAGTGACTTTTTAATTATATTTTTAATAACAAAAAAAAAAGTTATCCGTCAAATAATTCTTTAAAGTATCTGGTTCATTTTTTTTTTATCAAATTTAAATTGATAAAAAAATACACAAATCAATGTCAATTCTCTCACTAATTGTTAATCAAATTACGAAAGGAAATTTTTTCATTAAATTAAGAATTTATTAAATCTTTTATTAAATTAAATTTGATGAAAAAAATTAAAAAAATAAAACATCATAGATGATTTTTTTGTATATCAAATATGATAAAAAGAGAAATCCAAGATAAGATAAGATAAGAATTTTCAAAAAGATTTTAATGAAAAAATTGAAATTATCCATATCAAATCAAAAAGTTTACTCAAATAAAAAATAAAATGAAATGGAAAAAAAAAAATTGGAATAAATAATTTGATTTGTGGCTTTTAACACTACTCCTGCCCTACACAGTACACACTTTTTTGAAGAACACCGTGGCGCGGACTGCCGATAGACACGCTCATGGTTTTTCATATCTGAGGAGGGAGAGAGAGAGAGAGAGAATCGTCAATGGGCACGAAAGAGAGTTGCAGGAACGAGCTTCGAATTGCAATTCGTCAGCTCAGCGATCGTTGTCTCTACTCTGCCTCCAAATGGTACTCCCAAATCCCCCAAAACCCTAAACCCCCCATTCTCATCACAAATCTTCAATCTCTGATTTCTACTTTTCCATTTCGATTTCATTCGCAGGGCATCCGAACAGTTGGTGGGAATCGAGCAAGATCCAGCGAAGTTCACCCCCTCTCACACTCGATTCCAGCGAGGAAGTTCCAGTATTCGCCGGCGATTTCGCACCAATGAGAGCGCTTCGACGCCGATCGCCGGAGTATCGTATGTGTCCACTCCGGTGCTGGAGGACGATAACGATGCCGTAGACAGTGACTTTTACCTTCTGGCCAAGTCCTATTTGGACTGCCGAGAGTACCGGAGGGCTGCTCATGTGCTTCGGGACCAGACCAGCAAGAAAGCAGTGTTCTTGCGCTGTTATGCCCTCTACTTGGTTCGTTCCAACTCTCTTCTCTTTCAATTTTCTTTAAATGTAGTGGGTTTTTCTGTATAGTTGTTGTGTAACTGATTATTTGGTTATTAGGGTTTTTTAGGATTCGTTAATGGGGTCAACTGTAAAATGCATACTTCGAATAGCTTACTGGCTTAAACCTGAAAATGGGTGTTTTTAATGCTGTTAATTTGGTGATATTTGTTATGCGATTGGTAGAGTTGTTTTGCATTTTGTCTGCAAAAATTTAACTTTTGATGTACATATATTTAATTAAAAAGTATGAGAAGGTAAATTACTCTGATTAGATATCTTGAGTAGGTTTAAAACTGAGTGTATTTGCACGGCCACTCCCTCTTATGCAGGATTGATGGCAAGGTAGGTTGCAACTTGCTTCAAATAGGGACATCAATCACAGAGAAAAGAAAGTTCAGCTGTTTATAGTATGGGACATCGTAACCAGTTTTATTTTGCTCGTAAACTATATTTTTTTATTTAATCTGGAGAATGATCAGTGAGACAAATTTAAGTTCCTATTCACGGAAAACACTCCCTCATTTTTGACTATCTTGCTCGGGTTTAAAAGTAAAGGAAGGGAAAAATATGCAAACCACTTGCGTGTTTCTGTATTAGCCATTGAATCCACCTTAATGGTTGTCTAGATTTCAGACCTCATTTTAACATAATCCCACGCTTCTCTTCTTATTCTCAGTTTTATAGTTGTTATCTATCCATTATTTTCTCAAGTTAATATGGCCATTATGCATACTTGTAGTACCTTGCTTATCAATCACTTGATCTTTTCCATGTGTTCATTTGCTGTACCTTTCTTTAGTAATATTGAGTTGTTTTAGGTCTTTTGGGTGTATGTGACTAATATAGCTTTCTTGATGTTGTTAGGGTTATAAGTCACACAATATAGTGCATTGAATCTTGACTTGATAAGGCTCAATTCAACTACTGGGGCTTCACTACATTTTACCATTTCACTCTATTTGTGACCAAGTCTGTGCTTTGGGTGATCCCTGTTTGGCCACATGCACTATCAACATAAGTCTTGTATTTTTTGCTTCTTAGTACTGCAGTTTTTGTCTTTGATGCAGAACTTTAACACACTACTTTCCTTATTGTGCAGCACTTGTACTGTGTTGCATATTATCCATCTACATTTAACTGGTTTTAAGACAATGTGACTGAGAGTTATGGGCATGTGTGTAGCTTATGGAACATCTGTATTTATTTATTTTTAAATCGAAATGGATTGTATGGCTTGCTAGCGATGGTGTGTGCGGGGAAATAAATTTCAGGCATGGCCACATAGTTCGCACACATGCATTTATGTTTTGGGGTTGGTTAAATTGTTCTACATTGTTTGTTCCCATTGATGCACACTCTTTTCCCCCTTTTTTTATTATTTGTCTTCAGTAAATTATGTTGGAATACTATGAGGGATATGCACTCTTTTTTTAGTAAATGTCAGTTGCTTGCAAAGATCTATATTACCCACTTTTTGTGATTCTCATAACTGGTGGAAAAGGAATGATTTTCATATAACTAAGGTTAAGTAGCATTTAAAACAACTAGAGCAAATTAATGTTGAATGAAAGTGTCTTTATGTTTCCAGCTGTTTCTAAAAACTCATGGTTGCAGTCATGCACGAATTATGTTTAGTTCAATGGGCAAGATCTAGAAGAAAAAAAATAAGCCCAAACACTCTGCCAAGGAAACACCTCTTCTACATTCAAGTTTCTTGATAAGTTTACTCTTTTCCACATTCAAGTATCTTGATAAGGTCATTCCTTGGTTGCTTCACTTGATTCAATCACCTAAAGGAACTAACCAAAATGTCACATTCATGACAAAGTGAATTTGTCCGTGGATTACAGAATTTTCCATGCCTGTTTAAAACAAGGTTATGTATTTGTTTGATTGACTCTGACTATAGATGGTTGCATTCTGGTAGAAGTACTGTAGGATTGCTTAGTGCATTTATCCAGGAAATTCTGATTTTAAAGATATCAATTATCGGATTGATATGATATTATGATTTGATATCAATTATGTTTGCTTTCTTCCCATTGTTTGCTTTGGTTGGTATGGTTGGAACGGAATAGGCGAGTGTTTGATATAGTTGGTTGGTTTGGTTGATATCAATTATGGTTGGAACGGAATAGGCGAGTGTTTCAGGATGAGTGCCATTCATTTCATGGTTAGAGAGTACATTGTTGATGGTGTTGCATAGTTGGGTTAAGGGTACAGTCGATCCAAATGTTTTGGTTTTTGTCGATATTGTAGAGGATTTGATTAGTTAGTTTTATTTAGTCCTTTTGTGGGCTTGTTTTTTGTATTCTTTGTATCGTCTTTTTAATAAAGTTTGATTATTTATCAAAATATATATATATATCCTAGATCTTATATATTGTTGTCTCCCTTTCTGCTTCATAAAGGCCGGAGAAAAGCGAAAAGAAGAAGAGATGATTGAACTCGAGGGACCCTTAGGCAAAAGTGATGTTGTAAATCGTGAATCTGTTTCTCTTGAGAGGGAGCTATCAACACTTCGAAAGAATGGTTCGATTGACCCTTTCGGGCTATACTTGTATGGTCTTGTTCTCAAAGAGAAAGGCGTTGAAAATCTTGCTCGTACGGTGCTTGTGGAGTCTGTGAATAGCTACCCTTGGAACTGGAATGCTTGGTCAGAGTTGCAGTCATTGTGCACTACCTCTGAGACATTGAACAGTCTTAATCTAAATAACCATTGGATGAAAGATTTCTTTCTTGCCGGTGCTTACCAAGAGCTGAGGATGCACAATGAATCCTTAGCAAAGTACGAATATCTACAAGGAACTTTTAGTTTCAGCAACTACATTCAGGCTCAAATTGCAAAAGCCCAGTACAGCTTGAGGGAATTTGAACAAGTTGAAGTTATATTTGAAGAACTTCTAAGGAATGACCCCTATCGAGTCGAAGACATGGATATGTATTCTAACGTGCTTTATGCAAAGGAATGTTTCTCTGCCCTCAGCTATCTTGCCCACAGGGTATTCTTGACTGACAAATACAGGCCTGAGTCTTGTTGCATTATTGGGAATTATTACAGTTTGAAGGGGCAGCATGAGAAGTCAGTTACGTATTTTAGGAGGGCACTAAAATTAAATAAAAATTATTTATCAGCTTGGACACTTATGGGTCACGAGTATGTTGAGATGAAGAACACCCCAGCTGCCGTTGATGCCTATCGACGAGCTGTAGATATAAATCCTTGTGATTATCGAGCCTGGTATGGGTTAGGTCAAGCATATGAAATGATGGGTATGCCCTTTTATGCTCTTCATTATTTCAGAAAATCAGTATTCTTGCAACCGAACGATTCTCGGATATGGATTGCCATGGCTCAATGTTATGAAACCGAACCGCTTCATATGCTTGAGGAAGCAATCAAGTGTTACAGAAGAGCAGCAAATTGCAACGATAGGGAAGCAATTGCCCTGCACCAGCTCGCAAAGCTGCATAGTGAGCTTGGGCGTCTTGAAGAGGCAGCGTTTTACTACAAGAAGGATCTAGAGAGGATGGAAGGCGAAGAGAGGGAAGGACCAAATATGGTGGAAGCTCTGCTTTTCCTTGCCACCTATTGTAAAGCCCAAAAGAGATTTGAAGAAGCAGAGGTGTATTGTACCCGTCTTCTGGATTATACCGGCCCAGTAAGTTGTATTACATTTCTTTACGTTGTTTTGATTTCTTTCTCCTGCATATTATGGACTTGAAGACTGATTACCTATTCGACGATTCTCACAAGCAAATGCCAAGTAGCACGGACATGGACACTGACAAGACATGTTCAAAATGACACGTAAATTTGCAAAAAAATGTAGGACACTACACATGGGCACATGTGCAAAATATATAACCTTTTATATTTATTATGTCTTATATAAGGTTAATTAATTATTATATGTCATATATATGAATATTTAATTTGAAAATAAATAATTTTTAAACTCTATACAAGGAGAATATCTATAAACTTACGTTATTTTTCTTTTATAATTAGATCTAAATTTTCTTCAAACTTGTGATGTGTTTTATGTTTTGTCTATAAGCTATAGACACGTGTTCCCAAGTGTCTGGAGCAAGTCTGAGTCGTAGAATTTTTTCAAAAATAATGCCGTGTTTGTATGTGTGTCCAATTGGTGTTGTGTCGGGTTGGTTTAGGTCAGTGTCAAACAGGACACATAACCTTCTTAGAATTATCTGTGTTTCTTAGTGCAAAAGCATACGTTACATACATTTCATGCCGAAATAGTAGTTTTGTTAACTTTGCACTTGTTGATTTTTTAATACAGGAGAAGGAAACAGCTAAGAGTTTGCTTCGAGGAATGAGAATAGCACAATCTGGTTACCCATTAATGGATGTTGAGCATTTTCCTCCCTAAATTTTGCGTCACTACACTCAAGTGTCAATATATATATTTGAAATCAGGTATGTGTTTCTGGCTTCATGAAATTGTTGGATAGCTTTAGAGTTAAAATCATGATGTCAAGCAGACCCTGTACTTCTATGTAGCAGAAGACACTGGTGAAATTCCTGTGTAATTTAATTTAACTTTCGTTATAATAGGGCCACCGCGACGCAAGTTTTAGTGAAATGTAGTTCCATGATTCTCTAGGTTTCTCGGATTTTGTATTTTATAGTTTCAGGAAATTTTGCTTTTCTTTTAGCCCTTGGCAGTGCTGTAATATCTGGAAATTTGATAGATGTCATTTTTAGTGCTGTAATATCACAACAGAGAATTTTCACTAGAAAGACTCTTCTGTCTAATTGAAGCTTTGGAAGCAAGTTATTTGTTATATTCGTTTCAGGCATGTCCAGCATTGGAAAAGATGGTCTTAGTTTTTGTCTCGTAGCTGTGCTAATGCCCCGTGGACTCTCGACACTATACAACAAGTATCTGTGTCATTTTTTTAAAAAAATATTAAAAAAAAAAAAATCGTCTTTCAAGTGTAAGTCAAATTAAATGTTTTGAACACCCTAAAGTTCAGTCAACCAAATTTCTTAAACTACTTTGCGATGACATTAATTCTCTAAAGTGCGATCTTTTTAAGGAAACCTAAATATGATCATGTCCAAGAAATATAATGACATTCCTATCCTTAATGACCCAATTCTAAGCGTTGAATTTTCACTTCAGATGACATAGGATGCATGCACAGTGGATTAAGGGCACACATCCAAACACTGCCACAAGCAATAAACTCAGGCCTCAGTGATAAGCTGCAGTTAAAAATAGGGAATGGCTTCCCTCCGGTCCAATCACGGACGGGAGGGTCCTGTTGAATTTGTGAAGATCCATCAAGAGTCCTGTTTCGATAATTCGAACAGTTTAATATGTAAAATTCATCAAGTATTATATGTTTGTAAAAAATCACGTTAATTAGATATTGATAGTTATATGATCAAATCAGTTTTGTATGACAAAAAAAATAAACGGTGAAAAATAATCGACTTACAAAAATCTAATTTGACACATAGTTATTGATATCCAATCAACGTGAATTTTTACAAATATATAACCTGCGTTTGGTTGTATTTTGTAAATGTGATTTGCGAGTATGAGTTATATTTTGAGTTTGTGTGTTGTAGAATTATGATTTGAGTGTAGAAAATTTGTTTGGTAAAGAGTTTTGAAAATAGTTTTGGAAAAGAGGTTTGATTTGAGTGGAGAATTGTTGATGTGACATTTGATATGTGATACAAAAATTTACAACTCATAACTAAACATACAACTCAAAATTATTTAAAGCATATAAAAAATTTAAAAATTTTCAAAAAATATTTTTCCCAATTATATAAATCAATTACAAAAAAAAAATTCACTGTTTCGGACAGCCGGCCGGACGTCCCGTTCCCTCAAACACCCCCTCTGCAACAAAAAGAATGCTTTGACATATAGACAGAGCTTCCGGCTGAGTTTTGGAAAATTAATTCCAAAACTCTTACCAAACATCATGCTCAAACTCAAGTGTTGAAAACTATTTTCAGAGCACAAACAAACAGAGCCATAATATTTGATGAGTTTTACATATTGAACAGTTTGAATTATTGAAATAGAATCCATAATAAGCCTCCACGGACCTAACAATACCCTCTAGTCCGATCACGGACTGGAGGGAAGCCATTCCCTCAAAAATAATACCTATCCAAAAAAAGTTAAAAAGAGTAGATGATGACAATGTTAGTTTTGAATTTTCAAAAATAGTTTTTTGAATTTTTAATTTGTAATTTTGTATTTTTAATGATTTTTAAAAAAAAATTAATCATTTTAAAAAAAATAATTTTTAGATCCACTTAATCTTAATATATTTAAAAAGTAAAAAATTTGTACAAAATCTTTAAAAAATTCATTGAATTCAACAAAATACGAAAATATATTAAATTTTTGTAATTTTTTTTGTATTTTTTGTACTTGGTGAATTTTTTTAAGTATTTTTTTCACAAATATTATACTTTTTAAGCATACTTAGATTAAATGTATCTAAAAAATTACATAAAATATTAAAAAAAATTCACTAAAAATAAAAAAACTTAATTTTCTAAAAAGTGGACTCAATTATCTAGAACCAAACATGGTGGAAATTGTGTGTTGAGGCTCCCCGTGAAAATGAAATCATTCCATAGAATAGATGGTTGAATTGGTCCAGCAACTGGGTACAAATGATGCATTTGCACCACATTATGCAATTACTTTTCGGTGAGTGAGCAACATGGTGCTTTAACACTAATGAGATTTATGCAAACATAGACTTCTTCAAGAAGATTTAATTGTGTACAAGAATACATGTGATACATGGTGTTACTCCTACAAAACATTCTAACTACCATTCAACAAACTAATTTAGAAAACCTTTCTAATCTTCGTCAAGATGATAGTATTTCAGGAATGATGTTACTCATACTCATCTAACAAACCATTTTAGCTACCTTTGAATCCGCACAAAAGCGTTCATTTCTTGTTCTATCACTTTTTAATTTGCTACTCATTCAATTTAACAAGCTTAACCCAGCTACATTCGTTTAGTAGGTGTGCATGGTTTAAATCATGAACTTTCCGTATGAAAAAATATTACTCTGTTTGGATCATGGATTTAGAGATTAAGAGAGAGAAAAAGTGAGAGAAATGTTAATGACATATGAAGGTGGGTGAAATATAACAATATTTCATCTACATTTTTCCTTACCAAAATCCATTCATGATCCAAACACAAGACAGCCTTAGTCTAATGTTAAAAACTTATATATCAATCAAATATGCCAAAATTTGAAGTGAAGAAGAGTGATAAGACATGGATTTGAAATGACTATGACTTCAAGTGTTGAATAGTTCAAAATCATCTTAATTGGATGATCTGTGATGCAAAATCTTAGAAGACACAAAAACTTAAAAAAGCAAAAAGGATAAAGAAAATCATATAGATTATGTAAAATGTTTTGGAGTTCTAATTTTTGAGTTCTAAAATCAGCTCTAATGAGTTGGCAATAAATTTCACCCGCTATAATGTGATGTTTTAATCTTGCTTTGTTTTTTTAATATTTTTTTTTTATATATATATATATATATATATAGAGAGAGAGAGAGAGAGCATCCAGATATCAAAATTAGAAGTAAAAGAAGCAATCGAGAGAGAGAGGGAGATGATGGGAACAGACCTCAGGCCTCAGCCATCGATTGAGAGAGGATAAAGTCGACATTGAAACAGAGATCTCTCGACTAGACTATTAGTACTACAAAACTTACGATTTATCCATTTTAGACCATCTCCAACGGTTCATCAAACCTGGTATCAAATTCAAAATTTGATGAAAAAGTCACTTTTTTGAGCTCCAACGGTTTCACCAAATCGATATCAAATCTAGAATTCAGCAAATCTTTTACCAAAATGAGAACAGGCGAAGCATTTTACCAAATCACTGTTCCTAATCGTTGGGAGAGACCAACCGGTCAACCAGCCGGTTGCCCGGCCGGTTGACCAACCGGTCGACCGCCTAAAGGTTCAAACGGTTCGAAGAAAAGGTTCAAACAGTAAAAAAAAAAAAAATTTGCCTAACCGGTCGACCACTAAAAGGTTCAAAAAGTTCAAAAAAAATCAAAAAAAAAAAAAATTTCGCTTAACCGGTCGACCGGCCGGTGGACAAATCGGTTGTCCCCGGCACAAATTTGATGAAAGTGCACTGTTGGAACGAGTGGTATTAAATTTGATAAAATAAATCATTTTTAACTCAAATTTAATGAAAAATCTGATTCACCGTTGAAGATGCTCTTATAGAGATAGATAGAGGGACGATGACTCGGTGAGGTTTTAGCCTTTATAGGCAGGGGTTTAAGGCACGTTTTCCGATTTCAAAATTTCCAAAAGATAAGACTGGAAGTGTGAGAGAGAGGGATTGGTTGTTGTTTTTTAGAACCGAGGGACTGGTATTGGTTGTTTGTTTAACAGAAAAAGCGAGGGAGGTAGGCCCAAAATTTGAAAAAATTAAGTTGGTTTAGTTTGGATTTTAGGGTTCACTTTTTAAAAAATTTAAGTTGTGTTGAGTAAATTTTTTTAATTATGATTTAAAAATAGAATTATATTTTGAGTTTATGAGTTTTGAAATTATAATTTAAGTGTGAAAAATTTATTTGGTGAAAGAGTTTTAAATTGAGTGAAAAATTTTTGATGTGACATGTGATATTTGATACAAAAATTTATAACTTATAACTAAACACATATCTCAAAATTCTATTTAAAACTCATAATTTTTTTTAAAAAATTCCAAAATTTTTATTTAAAATATAAAAAAACCAGGTGTCAATTGTTAAAAAAAAAAAAAAAAAAAAATAGCACTGCTCCCGTCAACCGGCCAGATATCTGGGAGGACGACCGGTTAGTTCAAATTTTTCTACCTTGCAAAGAGTTTTCAAAAGTGAATGTGAAATTAATTTTTAAAAATATTAAACAAACACCACACTCAAAAGTGAGTGCGGAATTATATTTTAAAAGCTCCACCAAACGGAGCCTTAAAATTTTTAATTTTAGTTTTAGTTCTTTGTACTAATTTTTTTTAGGAAAAATTATTGTAAAATCACATTTGGGAGAGTTTTGGATGGTGGAGTCCTCGTTTTTTTTAAAACTCTTCAAAGTCCTATTTTTTTTTGTTTTTGTTTTGGTAATGATACAGTCAAGATCCCGTTTGTTTTGTTGGGGATGGATTTGGTGACCTTTTTGCCCTTTATCGTGGTGTCTAATGTTTGACTAGGATGGGTGTGAATCTCGTTAATTGCGTTGGGTTATTGTGTATCTTTTTGGGAATGGCGAACAAGGGAGTAATCCTTGTGAGTACTGGAATGAGGGAGTAATTAGGTCTGGTGGGTTGTTGATTGCATTCGACGGCCTGAGAGGGTGCGGAGGAAGGGAGTTTGTTTCGAAGTTTCGCTATAGTGACTTTTTTTGTGCTGTTCTTTGTTTTTGTTTTGGTTGTTGATTGTCTTATTTTTGGGAGGGAGGTTGGAACGCTGCATTCTTTTTGATGTGATAATCTGTAGGTAGGTGTATGGAATTACGTGAGACAGTCTTTCTAATGGGTTACGTTTACCATACGTGGAATTAAACACACATCGTACAATGCATATTTGTTTTCGATTTGATTTTTCTGTCTCGTAAATTTCATGATTGTGCATTCGCATCATTTCTGGACCACGAGTACACATTTTCATGAATTACATCGCATATTTACATGGATACGCATACCCAATATGCGTTGATGTTATCTAGTGACATTTTTAGGCCACTGTTGTTTGCGTTTGGGTTTCACGTTTGTCTCATTAATTTCACGATCACACATACTAACAACATATGGTTCACACACCGTGCACACACATTAATGTAGTGTTGCACATTTAACACGGACTCAATGCCTGGACTTTCCCCAGATTTAATCACAAGTCGGCCTCCTCATCAAAATTGTGTTCTTTTTTTATGGGTTTGTGTTTGGGTGTTGTTTGGGGGTGTAAACATTGCCGTGTGGATTGTGCAATTGGTCATTGTGTGATGTTATGTGGCGATTTGGGGTCCAAACACATGGTCACATTGCAACGTTCACACATACTAACAACAACCATTGTGTTGATGCGATTTTGCGGCAAATCATTATATTATTCTTTTGGATTTCTATTTTTCATTGTAAATGATGCATACTAACAACAACCATTGTGTTGATGCGATTTTGCGGCAAATCATTATATTATTCTTTTGGATTTCTATTTTTCATTGTAAATGATACGTTGGTACACTTGACACATTTGGCTGCTACATCGCACGTTCACATCGTGGTGCCTACGGAATAGAGACCTACACCACCATCTCATGCCACCATCACTTTTGGCAGTGCAGTCGTGCACACCATAACATCACACGCACTCATGAACACGGGTGCAAAATGAAGATGTGGTTGCCACTTTTGGGATGAAGATTCAAACTTGAATTGATGGTCCGAATGGGTGCAGAACACCCAAATGGGAATGATGAACCGTTGCTACAACGAAAATCCTAGACGACCGACGAACAAGATCAGAAATGTCGATCGACTTCCTCAATTTTCTGGTGGTTACGTTTGGGTTGGAATCAGAATGTGTGTCACCTTGTTTAATTTGGTGGATGATTCATTGGTTTTTTAGATCCAAATGTGGGTTGCATTCATTCAATGTTGGGGGGTGGCCACGTTTGGATTTGGACCCAAATGTGGGTCACTCAAATAACTGTGGTAAACTAAAAAAAGCCTAACATAAATGATAAATATGGAATTAGAATCATTTATCATAAATAACATATACAGTGAGTAAAATAGTAACTTCTCACATGATGAGACTTCTATGTATATTAAATAAAACATGGGACTAACTAGTCCATAATTCCACCATTTGGGATTTGTGGGTTAATTACCCTTTTTTTTAATATTTTAAGTAATTTTTTAAAAAATTTAAATTTAAAAAGTATAATCTTTGTAATTTTTTTTTAAAAAAATCACTAATAATCAAAAAACAAAAAAAAAAAAAAAGAAAAGAAGAGAGAATTCAATACATTTTTTGTATTATTGTGTATTTATATTGATTTTTTTAAATATTTTTTTACAAATATTTTAATTTTTAGATACTTTTAAGTAAAAAAATTATTTAAAAATTTAAAAATATTCACTAAAAATAAAAAAAAAATGAAAAATAAAAAACTTAATTTTTTAAAAATTAAATTCAAAAAATTGGAACCGAATAAGATAATTATTATTATTTTTTATTTTTTTATTTTAACTAGTTAGAAACAAACCTAATCTAATGAGTTTTTGGTGATAATCTAAATAAATGTATTTATTTGGGTTACATATTACTTCTCTATTTTTATATAACTCTTTGGCATATTTTGAAAATTGAGTTAAAAGTCAATTTTTTGACTTTTTTTATCACAACCACCTAAAAAATGAGTTATATATAATAAAATATTTTCATATCACGTGTCAATCTGTCATTTTTTGTTTACTTTTTGCAGAAATTAGCTTAAAGAGTAAATTGAGAAAAACTTGAAGCATAAAAGGGCCAAAAGTGAGAAAAGACAAACTTTAAGGGCCAAAGTAAAAAAGTATCCAAACATAAAGGGGCAAAGTGTAATTTATCCAAAAAGAATTCAAAAACACTATTAAAAATGAGTTTATTTATAATAAATTAATAATGATAATGTCACATAATTTTTGTATGAATAAAATTCATACATAAAAGGAGTTATTGAGTTAAAGGCGAAGAATTTTTTGGAGAAGTTATTGTGCCTGTTTGGTGCAGCTTAAAAGCTGCTTATTTCAGTTTTTAGCTTAATTTAAGCTATTTTGATGTGTTCGGTTTAGCTTAACAATGTAGCTTATAGGTTTTTGTAAGTCAGAAATCAGCTTATTCTTTGAGTGGGGCAGGAGATGCTTAATTTATAAGTCAGAAATCAGCTTATGTTCATAGTTATAAAGTATAAGCTGTTAAGGCATAAGTTATAAGCACTTTCTCACAGCTCTACCAAACAGGGTCATTAAGTTGTTAGGGTATGTGAGACAGGATTCCAAAAGTGTTATAATTGGTAAAGAGAATAGGGTCATAATTTTGTATAAAGGCCTAAGAAAACAGCAAGAAACTTGACATAGAGTCGTTTGTTTCATGAGGTGTGAGATTGAACTTTATCTCTAATAAGATTACTAATCCAGCATTTGGTCAGTTCAGTGAACGTCAAACTAATAGTCAAATACATATTATGTCTAGTTAAATAGTTCAGGAATCATATATTTAAGACTAACTGTCTATTGTTTATAATTTATTTTTATTCAGTTTATCCAAACAATAACCTCCTTAATGATTAAAAACGATGGCACTATTAACATCAAATCAATAGTGGTTTATACCAGCGAAATTTTCTAATCCACAATTAGACCAAAGAAAGAAGGAACTTCCGTTGCCTGAATTTCCTGAGAAACTAAAAAATCATAGATGAGTTCAGGACTAAACTACTCCAAGAGCACTCATCATATTAATTTTTAATCTACCTTCCTGGAGTTCATTCTCCCAAAAAAACTCTTCCTGAACCACCTAATAAATCTTTTTCCCCAAAATTGATGGGAAACTTTGTAGTTGAAATAACGGTTTAACAACAATACGAGTCTCATTAATTTGATAAAATTATATTGATTTTTAAAAAAAAATTAATTCACAATAATATTTAACTCATTTTTTATCAATAATTAATTAATCATATAAATAAATAAAAACATATTATACTGAAATATATACTTTACCTTCTTTCTTTTTGTCTATTTTAATTTCAATCCCTTTAACCTTACTAATGTTATAAGCCTATAACCATTAGGATTTGGATGTTATTTAACATAATACCCATGCATGGTATCTAATTTTGATTAACATAGCATTATATTAAACTTTAGCCACCCAATTTCCCTAAAAAAAATATTCATCGTATGCTCCTATAATGCAGAAAATTATTGTATACTTTTTGGGTAATGCCTCAACCCTCCTAACCCTAATGCACAACGAAAGTCAAAACACTTTATACAAAGAGTGAAAATCCTTTTGGGTAATGCCTCAACCCACCCAAAAAAATTAACCCTAATGCACAGTGAAAGTCAAAATACTTTTTCACCCAAAAAAGTTAAAATACTTTATACAAAGAGTGAAAATCTACATTCAAGCAGGGTAGAGTCACAACAATGCAAACCAACAAGCTTTACAATGAAGTAGCAGCTGCTTCAGAGTTGAGCCAATCTATTTTGGTAAGCAAGAATCTAGGTCTTCGGACTACCTTCGTTCTGAAACATAATACATTGATGTGTTCATATTAATCTACCATGGTGAATCCAAAATCATCTCTGCATTGGAGACCAACTAACATTTCTGCATATTCTCATTCTCATTTGCATTTTGAACAAAATGAATATGAATTGGACATGCTTGGTTGTGTGCCAACAGACTAGCTAACCATGTCAGCTCCTTCAGTCACATATTATGACCTCAGTTTCATTAATCTGTCCTATACTTTACGAGCACGGTCACGCCAAGAACCTTGTTGCCTTGCAATTACCTATAACCATAGTAACAAAGCAGTTACAATCTTAAAAGCATGAAATACACTAGGAACCATGTTGCATTGCAATAACTTGTAATTGTGCTAATGACATGCTAAAAAATCGCTCACCGTGTCACTTAAGAGAGTTGTAGCAGGAGCACTTTCTTTACTCTCAATTTTGTTGTCCTCCTGTTCTACTTCATTTTCAGTATTAACATTCAGGGGAATAGATGAGGCTCCAAACATGGCCTCGTCGTGAGCAGCCTTGATTTGATCTTCCCTTCTTGTCTTCAAAAGGATAAATAATTAACATGAGAAGATACAAGCCTTTATTTCAAAAAAGATTACTTCAACCAATAATAATTTGCACAATCATCAACCAGGAAGGAGAGAGAGATGAGAAGTACCTCCACTGCAGAAAACCGAAAGCTTTGGCCGATGTGCTTGACCAACTCTGCATCATCTTCCACAGCTGCACACAAAATAACAAAGTATAATCAGTGCTACTTTGGTCTAATAAAGTGAATATTCCTTCCCAGTGCATATCCAAAGGAAAATATTACATCTGATAGTGATTGAATACACCGAAATATACAATCTAGAAAAGTTACTTATCAAATCCCCACCAACAGTGACCAACTCAATCACATTTTTCTACATTGAACAAAACCTGTGATCATGCTATTGGTTCAAAGCAGCGCTCTTAATCTATCTATTCAGAAAACCTTTGATTTTGTTTTATTAAAGCCATTGATTGGAGCCATGGTAAAAACTCAGACTGTCAAAGTGTATGCATGTTCGGCCAAAAGGTACGATGAGCATGTATCACATAAAGTCTTAATTTACTAACTGCATGGAAAACTACTAAAATAAAGAACTAAATTAATTTTCAACCAAGTCACTTACGGTAATAGTTACAGGGACTAACCTTCAATTTCCTCATCATCAAGTGGGGCATCTTTGTTGAACTCAAACCGTTCCCATCCTGACCCCATGCTATTTGTTGCATCCTTTTCAGCTGCGTGTAAAATAACATTTTAAGATTTTAACAATTCTTTAGGGAGATTGGAGAACAAAATCACAAAAATATTTAGGAGCCAAACAAGAACCATCACATAAAACCTCATGGGATATACTATTTGTGGATTCTGTAGACAATCATTCTTTTTCACCTTTCCATTTAGTTTCTGGAACAGGTTCTTGGATTCAAACTCGCCCTTTTGATTTGCTTTGAATAGTCTGTTTTCTTCTACTTGATTTGGTCTAAAACCTTACTCCTTTTTCAACAATTGAAAAAAGAGTTCATGATTTTCATCCATATTTGAATCATTCCTAATACATAGGAGGATTTGTACATTACCCTTTTCCACCCTTTTTGATGGATGGTTTGCATAAAAACTAATTTGGTATTGTACTACATTATTTACTACAATTTATAATGTGAACATAACATCACAGCTCAGACCCCATTGGTGAGTCAGCAAACTGTTTAACAGTCTTTTTATGGAATTAAAAATTATTCAAAAACATTGCAAATGTCCACAAATGTTAAGAAAATAATATTTACATTAACAATCTGAAGTTCAAAGAGCATATCATTCAACACTTGGTCAAAATCGCTGATAATCAGAAGGTTGTTCGCATGATCTATTATAACAGAAAGTTACATGCCCCACCACCACTAAAATCAAAATCCTGTTTGAAGTGTCTTCCACTGTCAATTATTTCTCTCTCTCTCTCTCACACACACACACAAGTCTACTGCGCAATTCACAAATATTTTTTCAAAGAATTCAAATTGTCACTGAAATAAAGACTAAAAGAAATCAATATAACAATAAATTGATTACCAGTTTCAGAAAGCTGAAGTTTCATCTTGGCTTTGACTCTCTCAGCCGATGACTGTTCAAAAAACAAACACAGCTTTACCATACTTAACAATTAATAGTAATAGTAAAGATAAAGAACATAGAAAAGGGAGATACAATTAACACAAGCTAGTCCATGATACTGCAATTAGCTCTAAGAAGCACAGACATGGGCACACCACCTTTTTAGAAATGTTTGTGCTTCTTAGGTCCTACTAGATACAATTATTATATTGTTTCAGGAAGGGATCATCCGGATAGAAGAGCCACTAGACTTTCACTGTCGTGTGTTGCATGCGAGTGCTCTTTCTTGATTGTTCTCTATCCTTAGAAAAATAATAAATGACCAAGATAAGCATTTGGCCCCTCCCGGAGAAAGAGGTTGGTTACACCAGATCTCACATCTCACTTTTAGGCCCAATTAGGGTTATTGAATGTCCTAGACACTAGAGGTCCGAGAAATCTAAAAGTGAGAAAAATTGTCCCTTGATTCACCTTCATCCATCATTTGATTAAGAAGGGATGAGATACGTGAAGGTGAGTGGCATTTTCATAAATTATCCCCCTGGGAATGGGAGAGCATGCGGGATTATTTAATAACCCCATATACAGGATTATCAATCTGGACCAGATAAGGAGTCCCACCCCCATTTGTGCAACCAAACAATGGATAAAGGGGGACTAAAAAGTGAGACAGTGTAATACAGATTATTGCAACAAAAATTCAGAAAGAAACCATCTAATCTAAATATAAGAACAAGAACAGTATATAAAGAACTAAAAAAATAACAAAAATAAATTTTAGGGTTCTCAACACATAACTTATGGAAAGAAAATTGATAACCCTTCTCCTTTCAGGGAAATATTTTCAGCACTCCTAAAGAGAAATGGCTTTCAAATGCAACATTTTAATTCTTTTTCAAACAAGAGGTTCCATGAAGTGCCTTGAAGTGAAGGTACGTTCTCTTTTTCTTGAAATATATATATTTATACTCTCTTAGGTGGATTTCTTGAGGGATTAATGATTTCTAGTATGTTTCACAACAATGATAAGAGGTTGTACAAGGCACTTAGCTTTCTTGATATTAATGGTCAACTAACATTACATATTACATATATATAGTGGACAATTTGAGCTTGGCGGGCAAGCTTTGGGCTATATAACTCAAAATAATCGTCCACGAATTAATTCCACTATAAGCTCTACCCAATTCATGGTTCAAAAACGTACAATACAATACCCAAGAATTAGTTCTTTTTATCTAGTAGACACATGTTAGAAGTATTGCTTTGCCAATCAATGAAAAATGAAAATGGATGCATCTCTGCATTGCAACCAGGGACTGTAAAATTTCCAACAAACGCATAATCTCGCAATGAGACAAACACAAAATCATTCTTTATGTCGAAGTCAATTCCCAAACCATTGTATGCATCAAAAAACATAGCAAAATAACAGTTGAATCGAAACAAACAGAATTCAGAAAACACATACCATTGTGTCAAAACCCTCAATCAACTTCGAATAATCAATTGCCCCATTCCTCTCCTTTCCAACCTTGCTCAAACCTTTGTCACCTCCACTCTTCTCCAATCTCCGATCTCTTCGCCGCCGTCTGTCTTCATCCGAAACACTCCGAGACCTGCTCCTCCTCCTCCTCCTCCTGCTTCTCTCTCTATCCCTTTCTCTCTCTATATCCCTATCTCTGCTCGACGATCGATGCCGATGCCTGGAGCCACGCTCCTCTGGGCTCCGATATGCTTTTTATGCTTAAGCTTGTGAGTTTAGCACTCGAAACCCTAGAAGATTGGTGTGCTTGAGATGTGCTTTGTGGCTTCTTCTTGAGCTTGTTTTGGATGGTTTGGAGTTGAGCTTGCTTCTCGAACTCGGACGCCTTGGTGGGGCTTGAAGCCTTGACGAAGCTGCTGAGGAACGAAGAAGCCGACGACGAAGGGAGAGCCGAGCCTCGCGCGGGAACGACGTTGTGTTTGGTGGTGGTGGAAGAGAAGCCAAGGCCTTGTTTGAACCTGGCGGCTCCTTCGCCTTTGCGTACGAGCTCGTTGTAGTACTCTGCGGCCTTTTCTTCCTCCATTGTTAGAGCTTCTGTGTGTGTGCGTGTGTGTGTGAGAGAGAGAGAGAGAGAGAGAGCACGCTATGAGTCCAGTTCATTCAGCCCATTATGGGCCCATTGTCAATCCAATCCAAATAGTAGATTGGAAGAAAGAATCATTCATTTAAGCGTAAGTCTATTTACATATATCAATTACTCTTTTTTTCTTTTTCTTTTTTTTTCTTTTTTAAGGGACATCGGAAAATACACATCAATTATTCTTAATTCATACAATTATTCATAATTTTTTAATTACAATTTTGTCCTTCAATTAAATATCTAAATTGTCCTCATCTCTATTCCATCTCCTTCATTCACAAACCCTAACCTAACCTACTGTCACCGTCGTCGCCACAGCAGCCCCTTGTCTTCGATTGCCTCTTCTCCACAGCTTTCCTCTTTACTTTCTACCCTCAAATAGCTTCCTAGACGCCATCGTCCTAACTCTAACATCACTACACACCACTGTCGTCGCCGCCATCACCATCAGCCCTCACCATCGTAACTACTACCAACTTCTCTCCCCAGGCTTGTTGCGCCTTCTCCAGCTCCGTCGTCCATCCCTCCGCCGTTGTACGCCCTATCTCGCCATTGCAAACTACCCTGCTCCCCTTTTTTCCATCATGAACAACTCCATCACCTACCTCCGCCATCGCGATCCATTTTCCACACCTCTCCATCGCGACTCAGCTCTCTTGCATCTTGGTCTCCTCCACTGCAGGGAGAGAGAGATAGAGACAGCCCTAGGTTTTCAGATCTAGACAATGAAGAAGAAGATGAAGATAGAAGATGGGCCAGAGAGGGGAGATAGAATAGGAGGGGTGGAGGTCAGTGGCTGACGATTAACGATGGGTAAGGGTTTGGATTTGGATTTGGGTTAGGGTTCGGGTTGGGGTTAGTTGGAGAAGAAGAGGGTAATTTGGTATTATTTAAAAATTAGTGGTGTGTATTGAAACAAAATTAAAAGCTTTAATTTATGTATGGTGTGAACTGAGTAAGTGATGTGTATTGAAAGGATTTGTGGTGTGTAAATAGAGTCCCCCTTTATTTAAGGGTAAATTACACTTACCTCCCTTCCGATGTCTAACAAATACAAATAAAAATTAATAGTTTCAATAATTATAAAAAAATTTCCTATATCAAGATTCCCTTTGAATTGAGCGAGTGGATGAAAACTATCAAACCCATTAATAAATTATTTATATAAAAAAATTTATTTACTTCTTCGGAGGTTTTGTATATATATTAACATACATAATACATTAATAATTTAATATATGATATGTGGGGATATATTTTCTGAGTACCAACATGTGGCAAGGTGACGTCGACGTGTCAGCCGAGGTGCCACATGTGCTGGTCGTGACGCCGAGGTGATCTCGGCAAGGCCGAGGTTATCTCCGAAGATATCAAAATCCGAGATAAGTGGATGAGGGAGAAGAGTCCTAGAATGAAAAGGGAACTCAACCTGCATGAGGGACAAGAGTCCTAGAATAAGAGAAGACTTCAGTTTGTAGTAAGATAAGACTCTTAGAGAGTTTATCCTAATCTTACTGGAAGTTCAAGATTAGCAGTAATCCTGAGTCTATAGAAGTTAGGCTTCTATTAGGACTAGGTTTATGTTGGCTATAAAAGAGAGGCACCCCCGTGGGTCTAAGGTACGCAATTTTATGCTTTTTATGCTTAAGCTTGTGAGTTTAGCACTTGATTATCTTTGAGAGATATACTGACTTGATCGTCGGAGTGCCTCCGGGTGGTTGAACCACCGCCAAAGACTTCTCTTTCTGTTGCAGGTTTACTAGAGGCCATCTATTCTACCAGTGCTTTTCTAGCTGATTACTAGGCGAGCAGTTTGGTCAGAAAATCACCCACACAATTTGGCGCCGTCTGTGGGAAAGAAAGAAGAATAGATGGCCAATGACGGACAAAAGGATCAGACTGGAGGCAACGCTCCTGCTGGGAATGGGAGACCTATCAACCTCAACGTTGAAAGGGACAACCGCAACACAGAAACTCGTGACCAGAGTCATCGAGTGAAAAACGCCGGCCAGGAAAGTAACGCCCCAAAGACAACAGATCGAAGCGGATACTACAACGAAGATGACCTCCAGGTATAGAAGGATAGATACCTGCGGAGGAACGAAGACCCTTCCAGAAGGGATGCAAAGACAGGGGGGCATGAGCGCTCCCAATGAGATAACATTCAAGTATAGAAGAGCTCAACCTGAGTGAGCAAATCCCGGATCCCAGGTCCAAGAAGACATGATCTCGGCCTAGATGAGTAGGTCCGAGAAAAGAAGAGCTCAACCTGAGTGAGCAGATCCAAGATTCCAGAAGATAAGATCTCGGGACCTGAGTCCGAGAATAGAAGAGCACAATAAGTAGATCTCAGATCCCAGAAGATAAATAGAAAACACACAAGATCAGACTAAAGTTTGCCAGAATTGAGAAGTATACTAGGGCCGAGAAAGACATGCCGAGAACAAATGCATCGGAACAAGAAAAGAGAAACGGCTCGCCGATGTGAGGCTGAAAAATCAAACTCAGGTTGGAACCAAGTAAGATCAATAGAGAAACCAAGGCCGACAACCTCGGCTTGAATTAAACCTCGGCGACAAGGTCGAAGCTACATGTATGACGAGAACCCAAGTGGATTTTAAGTTCACATTAGAGGGGCAGAGAGAAAAAGAATGCGTTTAACACTTGTTGAAATTTATAGCAATTTACAAGTTGAAGTTAAACCGAAGTAATGCTTAATGCTTGTTGAAATTTGTAGCAATTTACAAGTTGAAGTTAAGCCAAGATAATTGTTTATCTTCACTTCTTGAAATTTGTAGCAATTTACAAGTTGAAGTTAAACCGAAGTAATGCTTAACGCTTGTTGAAATTTGTAGCAATTTACAAGTTGAAGTTAAGCCGAGATAATTGTTTATCTTCACTTGTTGAAATTTGTAGCAATTTACAAATTTAAATTAAATCGAAGTAATGTTTAACGCTTGTTGAAATTTGTAACAATTTACAAGTTGAAGTTAAACCGAAGTAATGCTTAACGCTTGTTGAAATTTGTAGCAATTTACAAGTTGAAGTTAAGCCGAGATAATTGTTTATCTTTACTTCTTGAAATCTGTAGCAATTTACAAGTTGAAGTTAAACCGAAGTAATGCTTAACGCTTGTTGAAATTTGTAGCAATTTACAAGTTGAAGTTAAGCCGAGATAATTGTTTATCTTCCCTTGTTGAAATTTGTAGCAATTTACAAGTTGAAGTTAAGTCAATATATATTGTTTAACACTTGTGAAAATTTGTAGCAATTTACAAGTAGATCATTGTTTAGCACTTGTTATAACTTAAGAAAAGTTTACAAAGTTGAGATTAAACTAGTATATGTTTATCCTTGTTGAAATTTGTAAGCAATTGACAGGACAAGTACTTGCCGAAGAAAAACGTCAGGTGGCATAACCGAGGTGTGTCACCCCGAGAAGATTGCACAAAGAAGGAAAAGTACATAAGACATGCAAAATATTCTAAGTATAGAATCATGCAAGAGCACCTAGAAGAAGATCAAGACAAAATTCATGGTGATTGACACGCCCTCGCCATACAATATCATCTTGGGAAGGCCATGGTTGCATGCAATGGGGGCAGTTCTCTCAACGTTGCATCAACTACTGCGGTTCCCAACAGAACATGGGATTGAAAAAGTCAGAGGGGATCAACTGCAGGCGGAGAATTGCTCCATGGCAACAATGAAATCCACCTGCAGCATTCGAGAACCAGAGAAGGCAGAGATTGAAAACGAGGACATAGAGGTCCTAGATGATGTCGGCAAGGAGCCAGCCGAGAGGAGTGAAAAGGCACTAAAAATCCTCGTCCAGGAGGGGGATGAAGAACGCTTCTTTCTTCTCGGCTCAGGCTTAGCCAAAGAAGAAGAAAGAGAATTGAAAGCCTTTTTTTAGAGCAAACATTGAGGTATTTACTTGGACACCTTACGAAATGCCTGGCATTGACCCCGAGGTCACTTGCCACCAATTGAACGTCGACTGGTCGGTCAAACCTGTAAATCCAACAAGCAAAATGACCGACGTTGATGCACGTCGAAGCAGTAGAGGAAGAAGTAGACAGACTTCTGGAGACCAGGGTCATTTGAGAAGTCAATTACCTGACATGGCTACCAAATACAATGGAAGAAGGAATGATAATCAACGAGCAAGGAATGTTAACATCGGCCAACAAACAGACATTTTTCAGAAGCAAAAAAGGTTGCATATGCAAAGAAAACAAAAGTACAAAGATGAAGACCCTAAGAACTAGGACTAGGGTAAGAACGTTAGACTAATCTACTACAACGGTTGACGGTGGTTCAGCATTGGCAGTCAGCTGGGAGAGCTTCTCTACCATTATCTTGGCAACAATTTCAAGAAGGGACGTGGTTCTAAGACTATGCAGAAAACAGAAACGAAGGCAAGAATCTAAAAAGAAAAAGCCAGAGGATTGAATGAAAAAAGAGAAAAATAGTCAAGAAGACGACAAAGTTCAAGAATAAAGCCAAGTGCACAGGCACTAAGTAAGTATGTGAAGAACAAGAAAGTAATGACCCAGACACGATGCTAGCAACAGAAAGCGGATATGACAAGAACAGTGCCAGACATTCAAACAATTCAAAACTTAAAGAGAGACGAAAATAGAAGGCAACAGATGGCAAGTAAACAGATTCAGAAAAGTTATGAAAGATCGAGGTTAATAGCAAGTAAAGAGTTTATGAACGTACCAAGTGAAATGAACGCCGATATGAAAATCACCAGAGTCAAATAGATGACTGGAACTCGGGAACTCACCAGAGAGTGTGAGTGGAGCAGTTGCAAAGCTCTTGTAGTTTACGAATTAATGGAACCAGAACCTCGACTAGGAGGTGCGATTTCAAGCAGCTTGGAAAGCATGAAACTTGATTCTTGACAGAAGTGGACAGTAAAGTCCAGAGAACTTTGAGGTCAGCGAGTTTGATCTCGGACAGAGGGGTACAAATGAACGAACAGTGTAGGTTCCATCATCTCAGAATGCCGAGGTAATAGAACCTAGGGGGCAGTTGTGGGGATATATT